GTTGACACCCTTGCCGGGCTATTGTTGATTTATTTGTTATCTCCCTTGCCGGGATGTTGATATTATTGTTGTTGTTCCCTTGACGGGTTTTATTTGTTGAAATGTTGTTCCCTTGCCAGGATCTTTATTGCAATTTCATTTATTCCTTTGTCCTATTGTTTGCGATTGTTGTTTGGGTGAGGAAGAGCGTTAAAGCACGAAGGGTGATGCCGTGCATTGTTTGTTTTATGAGGAAAGAGTATAAAGCACGAAGGGTGATGCCGTGTATTATTGTGAGGAAAGAGTGTAAAGCACGAAGGGTGATGTCGTGCCGCACGATGTACCATTCCGTGCTGATTTTATTGATTATATGGTGAGGAAAGAGAGTAAAAGCATGAAGGGTGATGTCGTGCGCACTTTTATTATATGATTGCTTTGGTGAGGACGAGAGTAAAAGCACGAAGGGTGATGCCGTACATTTATTGAATTCTGATTCTTGTTGATATTTGAGTTATGTTATTTCTTTCGTTTATTTGATGTCTTTCTATTCAGAATTGCTATCTCCCCCACAGCATGCTCCCATCCCATTTTGACTGGTTATTTCTGTGTCTCTTTTCCACTGTATATATATTTAAATTGCTCGGGTTTATGTGGTAGTCTGATCTGGCCTCGTCACTACCTCGCCGAGGTTAGGCTAGGCACTTACCAGCACATGGGGCCGGTTGTACTGATGCTACACTCTGCACTCTTTTGTGCAGATCCCAGTGTTGTTGACTTTGGACCGTAGGTTGGAGGCTATTTTCAGTTCACGTGGAGATCTAAGGTAAACCTGCAGGCGTTCGCAGGCCCTGGCGTCTCCTCTATCCTTATTTCCTATTTCATTTTCCTTATATTCAGAGACAGTGTATTGATATTTTCTTCAGACCTTGTATGTAGTAAATCTTAGACCGTCTGTGATACTGTGACACCAGTTTTGGGTAGTCGAGGTTCAAACAGTTGTATTAGATATTCATGTTCAGATAGCTTATGGCTTCTTTCTTCCGCTTATGTTATATTTCGCTGTTTAAATATTATTATTATTATTATTATTAAAATTGCTAATGAATATAAAATGAGTAAGAAGGGTAAATTGTGAAATTAATTGGCTTACCTAGCTCGTACTAGTAGGCGCCATCACGACTCCCGAGGGTGGGAATGCGGGTCGTAACATATACTTCATGACTCTGGTGAGCCAATGACAGAAATCAACTGCTGGTATAGCAAGGAGGTATTTCTGCTGACTTATAGACACAAGATCCAACCTGTTAGGGGAGAAAAGTTTTGGAAGATTGAACCATCTCAAGCAATGGAGCCTCCAGAGTTTGTGAAGTTGGCTTGCAGACCTAAGGTTAAGAGAGATAGGCAAAAGGATGGGGCGAATAAAAGGCAAGAAGTATGATCAAGGTCTAAAAAATGAAGAATCATGACTTGTAGCAAATGTGGAGAAACAACTCATAATGCTAGAATTTGTGGTCAGGTAATTGTTTTATACAATTTTAACTTCAAAACATTAAATTTTTAAATGCAAGAACATATTTACATTTTCTAACTTGTCTTTTTAACAGCAATAAAAGGGAAAGAGGGAAAGAAAGAGTGGAATAATTGAGCAGGTTGCCACCAGTTCAGTACCTGCACCTGAAGCAACAAAATCAAAAGGAAAGCAGCAAAGGAAGAGGCCAAGTTGTTTGATAGATCATGAAACTGAACCAAGTCAAGACAGTTCAGCACCTCAAGTTGAATATGATATCTACTATTCAGCACCTCAAGTCACTCAACCAACTTAGGACAGTGGTCTTAGGTTCATCCTTACACCTGGAGTTAGGGGTATTAGACATGAAGAAGATGATGTGCTTAGGCCAAGAGTTATATCAGAAGTAATTACATGCCCAGGATGAGACAACAGGTACAAATACCAACTGGAACAAGGTCAATCAACTTCACTGGTGATCACAAAGGTGTTAGTGTTCCAACAGATCTACCATATTCAGCACCAACATTATAGTAGAAGAGGAAAGCTATTGTGACTGCAAATTAGTTGGAAAAACAAGGGCGAGAGAGAATTGGGAAGTTGAAATCAAGGAGAGAAAAATAAAGACAAAGCTGGAATTTTTTTGTTGTGTTTGGGATGTATTTACTACAAACTTAATGACAGTTATCTCCCATTTAGTATTTTGTGATTAATGGTTGGTTCTGAATATTGTCACTGGAGGTCATATTACGATCCAGTGATGTATTACACTGATGTAATTACTTGTAATTACTGTTTTTTTATGTATATTTTTGGTGATGTAATTACTAGAGTTACTGTTTTTTGGTGTATGTTTTTTATGATGTAATTAGTGGAATTGGATGTCAGATTAATCTAATTGATGTTTCGAAGTAGTAAGTTGTCATATTGGAGTTCAAAATTATAAATTGTAAGTTATATGTTGTAAGCATTTGTTTTCAAGTGTCTATGTTTGGAAGAAAACATGTATTCAGTTACAGCTTTGACAAAGGAAACATATGCCTCACCAGATGTGCCTATAGCTAATTAGGAGTGTAAGAACCTATAGCGGATTAAGACTTGTAGCACAACTAGTACATAAACAATTACTCATAATACAAATTGAAGAAGCAACATCATTATATTACAATAACATGGAACATACATTAACAAATGATGTCATTGTTTTACAATGGCTAAGAATATCAAAAATCAGTAGATAGAAACATCTAAGTTTTACAAGAACTAGAAACATCAATATGGAGCATATGCCATCTTTCTTTTACAGAATTTACTTCATCCATATTGCCGCAACAAATCCAAGAAAAAGTGCAACTGAAATCCAAATAAACATCTTGATCTTAACCACTCTATCTTCAATTTCCCTTACTTTGTTCACTTCAACATTTTTTGCAGCCTCCAAATCTTCAACTTTTTTAGCAATTTGTCCCTTTCTAACTTGCACGACTCCAACAATTGCCTCAACATATTGATTGTAATATTAGCAGCATTCAATTTACACTGGAACTTATTGATTTCAATCGACGCTCGGTCCGGAAAGGGCTCGTCTTGCCATTCCCAATATCCACACAGCTCATTCTAACAATTATGAACAATAATTAAGTTACAAGGAATAAAAATTTAATTTTTGTACAAAATAATTAACAAACTAAACACATGGAAAATTTCAACTTACTTCAGGTTTAGCACATTTATAGAATCTCTTTCCGGTATTTTGAGGTGTGGTCGATCAGAAGTGGTTGGCAATCTCTCCACACTGGCACCTTCTCTTTGATGTAGCAATAGAATCCGACATTTGACCCACTTTTACCACCACCACCAAAAAAGGAATTAATGATGAATTTTGTTGAAACCGGTAATTTTGATGGAGCTTAAAGTAATAGGGTTGGGGTTTATTTTGAGTTATATTTTACGGGTTAATTGGTTTGGATATGGGTAATATGGATCGGTTCGAGTCGAATGATACCAGATGTAAAAAAGACACAGATGAGTGTCACGTGTCCCCTCCACCACTTAAGGATAGGTGTGTGTGAATAGTAAGACGATAAGGAGTTTTATGGTCCGTTGGTATAAGAGGGGACAACTTTAAATAATTTATCATAATAGAGGAGCATACCGTGTTAGGAGCAACATCAAAGTTAAAAAGGAAAGGACTATCATCATAGCAAATTAGTCAGGATTCAATCAGACTGTTTTATAGGTAACATGATGTTCTCCCTCAGAACTGTTGGTATACGACTAGACGAAGATGAACTTAAGAGAGAAGTACAATTCCAATAATGGACGACTTTGCACTCAATCAAGAAACAATTATCTATTTATCAGCATTTAAAATCATTCATAAATTATCAGCATTTCCAATAATGGACAAATTTGCACTCAATCAAGAAATAATTATCTTTTTATTAGCATTTAAAATCATTCATAAATTATCAGCACATAACTAGAGCAAAACCACCAATCTCCCCACCTAATTCATCTCCCAACAGCTATACTCAGAAAGCATAATACAAGTCCATTCAAGGGTAATTATTGCATACACACCAACTATATGCCAACTCTAAATATTTGTGTTTGAAATTAGGCTTGCTAGTTACTAATTTCTTTTGAATTGAAAGTTTTTATACTTCAAACACACAAATCTAAAGTTGGAAACTCTGCCAAGCCTTTGAACTGCACAAAAAATATGCCATTTTCAAATAACAAAAAAACAACAACAACAATAACAAACCCAGTATAATCCCACGTGTGAAGTCTGGGAAGGGTAGTATATACACAAACCTTAACCCTACCTTTGAGGGTAGAGAGGTTGTTTCTGATAGACCATCGGCTCAAGGAAAGAAAAGAAAACAGTAACAACAGCAAGATAATAAGAAACAAATAGTAACCATAAAAAGATAATAAGAGAGCATGCATTATCAACAGCAATATAATTAGAAAACATGTAGTAACCAAGGCTGTCAATAATCGAAAAACAGGGCTGACTAACTACTACTACCGGTATGGGGAAGACACACACTCGACTACCAACTAACCTTCTACCCTAATCCTTGACCTCCACACCTTCCTATCAAGGGTTATGTCCTCAGTGAGCTAAAGCAATGCCAAATCTTGGCTAATAACCTCTCCTCAGTACTTCTTTAACATACCTCTGCCCCTCTTCAGACCACCCAGGCCAACCTCAATTATAGAAGACAAGGAGTTCACCTAGTCCTAATTTGTTTGGTTAAGTTTCTTAACAATGCATATTTTAGGAAAAAGTATTTAAGGAGGGAAGAAAAGGAAATAAAAATTGGAGAAACTAAAGGTTTTCCCAAAAGAGGAAACTACAATGCATGAATTCTCGTGACTTTTCTTTTGCAGTATATTGAGAAAACTTTTTCCTCCGACCTTTATAGGAAAGTTCAAATTACTATATATATTATTATCACAAGAAGAATTAAAAAATAGAAACATAAAGGAAATAGGGGTAGAGAAAGGGAAAAAGGAAATTAAGAAAGTCCAGTCCACCTGGATATTAATTAAAAAGCCTCTCTTCTCTTCACACAGCGTTACTTCATCTTCTTCTCCTCTCCCAAACCCTGCAAATTATTCATTCACATCACAGATGTGCCGTTAATTACACACACAAACACACATAATTTGGTGTATATACCGGAGCGGCGCCGCCTCCGGAAACCCTAGATCCACCCCTCAAGATTTTTGTAGGATCTCTTTAGGGTTCAATTAAAACCCAAGCCACCATGGTTGGCCCTACGCCGCCGCTGCCGCAATTGCAAACTCAGCCACCGGCACCTTCATCAGCTGAAGATGAAGCTCTCAAGAGAAACACCGATTGTGTCTATTTTCTCGCTTCTCCTCTCACTTGCAAAAAGGTCCAATCTTTGGCTTTTGGTTCTTGTACATACCTTTAATTCTCGATCAAGTGTTAATTCTATTGAAGTGTTAATTCTATTGAATTTGGTGCTTTTTTTTTTAATTCGTGAAGTATTGTGTGTGGCTGCTAGTTGAGGATCTGAGTTGCAAGAGATAAAGATTGTGTTTTCTATTCCTTTTATATAATTTTAAGATGATTTCTTTTTTCCGCTTTGGTTATCAGTAAACCCTATATTTGGCGGCTGTAGTTTTTCTTTGGCATTTGGAATGAGGAACTATTTCTTGATTTTTGTGAGATTACAGCTTAAAAATATTCTTCTTGTCAGAAAATCTTGGCACTATTTTAGTAAATTTTTATGTCAAGCGATTTATCTACATTATATACAAGATTTAAGGTATATATGCAAAAAATTCGGTTTCTGCTGCTGTGTTGTCTGGATTAGAAGAGCTTAATTGTTTTGTCTTAGATCGAAATTTGTTTTGTTTCTGCGCTATTATGATGGTTTTGTCAAACTGGATATAGACAATCTTGTAGCGAATTTAAAGTTGGTGAGTTGGATTCCGACAATAAGTGCATTGGTTTATGCCTCCAGGAACACGTATAATCTTATTCGGGCAATCACATTTGTCTTTATTTTCTTTGTCGGATTGTTATTTTTGCAATCGAATCTATCGGCTGCACGTATACCTCATTCTTTTTATCATATAAGACAAAGTTAATCGATGCAACAAGTGCAATTACTGAATTGTTTCTCATTTATTTCTCTTTTCATAATTTATTTCTTTGTCGGATTGTTAGTTTTGCAATTGAATCTATCGGCTGCAAGTATGCCTCATTCTTTTTATCATATGAGAGAAAGTTAATTGATGCAACACGTGCAATGACTGAATTATTTCTTATTTATTTCTCTTTTGATAACTGTTTGGGAAAAAGCAATTGCTGTACAAATGCCTTAGCATCTTTCTTTATTATGGATCTGTGTCCCTTTTTGGGTGAATACATTTATGTGCATTTCTCCACGCTATATAATGTTGTAATTTAATTAATTCGCATCCATGGATCTATATATACTTCCGCTGACGCGCTAAATATTTTATTAACAGGGAAGCGAGTGTGAGTACCGCCATAGTGACATGGCTCGGCTTAATCCAAGGGATTGCTGGTACTGGTTGAACGGAAACTGCTTAAACCCGAAGTGTGCATTCCGGCATCCTGTGAGTTATTATTTCTTTCTCAACATGCTCTAGACTTTTATCATCTCTGTGCTATAAATACGCAAAGTATCTTGTTATCATGTACATTTAGAGTTTCTACTTTTACTAGCAGATGTATATTGCTCTGTTTTGGCAAGTTAATCATTCAATTGATCATTATTAACCTCGTTCCTACAGCCTCTTGATGGATTTTTGGAAGCTCAAGCTCCAACTGTTATAGGATCTTCTGTAGCTCCAGTGGTGTCTGTTGCACCTATGCCACAGGTTCCTTATGCTTCTAGTAAACAAGGCGTGCCCTGCGTATTCTTCCAGAGAGGGATTTGTTCAAAAGGTGATAACTGTGCATTCATGCATGCACCGAACTCCATTTCTAGCAAACCTTTACAACCTCCAGTGTCTACTGCATCTAGTGAAACTCCAACTGCTAAGAATGCATTTGGTGGGGTTCAAAATGCTGTGCATGGGAAGAAACTTTCGCAAACTAATCATCCGAAGCCCAGTGTACTACCTAAACCAGTTTGGAAACTGGAAAATCATCTGACTAAGAAAGAGAATACTTTTGATGAGAAGGTACTGCCACCAAATTCTGTCATAAACAGAGAGAGTACCAGGTACAAGCCAAGTATGCCTGCAACCAATGGCAATTCGCTCAGTGGCCCCAACAGGGTGCAGCAGCCCATTGGCCTTGATGATCACAGCAGCATGCAGAACAAGGATGATGAAATTTCAAGAGAGCCTTCTCCTGGTTTTGATGTTCTTGTGGACGATGAGCTAAGAGGTTCAGATTATTATCATGATGAAGATCAGTATGGTGGAACAAGGAGCAATGGGGGGAGAAATGAATATGACATGGGCGATTCTGCTGATTATGATTCAGTGGCAGATATTGACCGAGATATGTACCGTGATGGGCATGGATATGACTCATATGACAGGCTACAGAGTCGGTATGCTTGGGAGCAGCCTATAGCTTCTTCTGAGAGAATACCAGGGGGGTCAGCTCATCTTGAAAGGAGACGATATGGTACAGTAGATAGACCTGAACAAGTTAAAATGTCAGATCTGAGACATCGGTTGTCGAAGCATAGGAGAGGTAATGGTTTGAAATCTGTCATTGGTCATGACTTTTCAAGTGAAAAGAATGTTGAGGATCGAGCCAACAAGAGTTCTAGGAGGGATGCACACTATGTACCTTCACATGATAGTTCTCTTAGTGGTCGCCTTCGAGGAAGAATAAAGCTTCCAGTTAGGTCATCTTCTCCGACTGACAGGGCTGAATTACCGTTGAATAGGGAAATGGATAGGGCAAGATATCGTGGTAGGTTGTCTTCAGAAAGGCCACAGCTGTCCTCTTACCAAGGAAGGCTTCAAGACAGAATAAAGGGAAGAGTGCAAGAGGATCTCAGTAATGGTGACAGAAATAACAGAGGTCCTCGTCTAAGAAGAGATATAATAAATGACAATAATTCCTACTTTGTGCGTCCTAAAAGTCTTGTTGAACTTAAAGGTAGGAAAACTGCGGAGAGCAATGAGCAAAATCTCAATGAGCAACAACACCTGGGGAAGCGCAAGTTCCAAAAGCTTGATAGTGGGGAGGATCAATCATTTGAAGGACCAATGTCTCTGCAAGAGATTCTGAAGAGGAAAAGAGGGGGTGGAGCTGGTATGACATCTGGTGGGAGCGAAGACTATGAACATGAAAGAAAAGGCCAGACAGTGATGACTATTGGGAATGTGGTGGACTTTCCTTCTGCTATCATCAAAAATGGGTCTGGCCTTTCTATTCAGCAGGAGGAAGAATCTAAGCTTGCTGCAGATCACCAGTCTCCTTTGTGCCGCAGTGCAAATGAACTTGAAGCTGAAGAAGAGATGATTATGGAAGGCTCAGATGCTCAAGGCCACGGCGAAGGCTATAATCAGGTAGATGGCGATGATGACTATGAGCCGGTTGAGGGTGAAGATTTCCCATTAGAGGAAGGTGAGAACGGTGACCTTGATGACGAATACCTGGATGATGATGATGATGATGATGATGATGATGGAGATGACTTTGCAAAGAAGCTGGGTGTTGTTTCCTCATAAATGTCGGGACGTTCGTTTTCTATACATCTGTGAGCTCTTTTAGGTTGTTTAATGAGCAAATTTAACTCTGCTGGTTTTGATTTTACAAGTAGAGAGAGTTCTATTTTCTTACTCTGTGTACTATTAGAAACTTTTTTTCATTTATTTAAAACCCTCTGACTGGATGGATAATTTTCCACCAGTTAGTGGCTCGGGGCAGCTTTATCATTCAGGTTTGCCCAAAAGGGTCATGACTGTAACTTTAGAGTGTTAAACAGAAAGTATCTTTGCTATTTCCTCTCTTTGCAGTCGCCTGATCAGGTTAGCTTAGTGGAATTTCCTTTGCATAATGAATATTGATAAATGGGAAAATGCCCCGTAATAACCTGGGCAACCTTCCTACAAAGTTTGGTCTTTGGATCTATTAAAGTAAGATAGTCACTTGTTAGCTTACTTCTTAGCCTTTACATAACCAGAAGTTATGATGACTCCATCTAAATATTTATTAGCAAATCCTTCAGCCTGGAGGTCTGCGTAGTGGACATTAATTCATCTTGAGGGATTTCAAGCTACTCGAGATCGTTTGCGCCTTATCCATGTAGTAAGGAAATAGACGAGCACTCGAGGAGGCTAGAATTGTAAGAAATTTATATACTATCATATCATAGGAGAGATGTAGACACAGAAACATAAAAGATAATATCGAGTTATGCTTAAACAAATATATCGTTCAACATCGATGGTCGTCAATAACCCCCTCCCACGTACTCATCGAAGCATCATAAGCTAGAGCTATTCTAGAGAAGTATTGACATTTCCTTAGGAAAACCCTAGATCCTTATGGATTTGCTAGGAAAGTCCTTGGAATGTTCTAGGTTTGTAGGGAGTTCTAGAGAAAGCCCTTATCTTGTAAATATTAAGGACTTGTATAACAATTAATATTTACATACTAGCCCCTAGGAGACGAGTATATAAAGGGGGGCCATTCATTTGTAATACATCAATCAAAACAATCAAGTTCTCTACAATAGAAACCTTCTTTTGGCAAATTTCTCGTCTTTCTTATCTAACATTTCCTTAGCGATCTTAAGTGTAGTATTTTAGGCTGACTTGGCATAGCAGGATCGTGAGCAAGTTGTTAAGTGCCGCACGTGTGCTTAGTTGAAGAGTAAGGACGTGACAACGTGGAATCTGAGATAATGTTATGATTAAAGGAATGTTAAAAAGAATACAAGAGATTGCTAGAAGGAAACTTTGTAGGGAACCATGGTCGGGATTACGAAGGGCGTGGTACTTGCAAAAGGGAAAATGAGAAGGTCCCTAAGGCAAAGGAGTATGGCGGTGCACGGGACGCACGTGAGGTGGACGACTTACTTTGGAGGATGGACAAGTACTTTGAGGTAGTCAAGGAGGATGACGAAGTTGTTAAGGTACGCAATGCCTCAATGTACTTGGCCGAGGTTGCCGTGCTATGGTGGTGTCAAAAGTGTGCTGACATGGAGAAGGGGCTATGCAATATTGAGACGTGGGAGCAGCTCAAGAAGGAGTTGAAGAAGCAATTATGCCCGATGAATGTGGTGTACGAGGCTACGCAGAAGCTAAGGGAGCTCCGACAGACGACCACAATTCGGGAGTATGTACGCGAGATCACTACCTTAATACCGCAAATCCTGTCATTGTCCGAGGAAGATTCCCTCTTCTACTTCATGGATGGGTTACAAAATTGCGTAAAGCAGGAGTTAAGAAGGCATCAAGTAGCCGAGTCGCTCATTGACTTCAAGATGGAACCTGCCAAGTCCAAAGAAGGAAACGCCGAAAGGGGTGGGGAAGATCATGACAAGGACAATGGGAAAGGCATAGCCGATATATACAAGGGCAGTGGCAAAGGGCCATCCCATAATGGATAGGGGTCCAAGAGAAACGGCAAGGGGCCAGAAAACGGTAGCGAGTACGTGCCTAAGGGAGGATGCTACTTCTGTAAAGGATCACATCGGGCAAGTGAATGCCCAGCGTTGGGGAAGCTTGCAGCAATGATCGGGAACTTTGCTCAGGCACACAAGGGTGACACGGGAGGGACCGCCTGCATTGGGGGGATGCGCTTGGAATCTAAGTCGAAAGTAGGGGATTCCAAGGTGTATCTTGACGCCATGCAAATGGAGCATGGTGGCAGCAAGAAAAGTTGGGAGAACATAGTTGAAAAGGATGGCGAGTTACAAAGTGATGGCACGCTATCGGACTTAGACGATGCACCAATCAGAGGGGTCAAGTTTGCTAGCAAGGCTGGGACCACAGAGGGCAGCTAAATAGGGAGTGGAAGCATGGACCTGATGCTTGAGAAGCTACTAGACTTGGTCGAGTCATGGGGAGATTCAGGCCAAGATCAAGGAGAGGTATCCGATGGGCGGAGGATCGAGGCCATCATTGCTAGCCGTCCAAAGTACAAACGTGGTAAGAAGAAAGGTGACCAGTACCTTGTGACATGGGAAGACGAACCACTCCATAGGGCATCATGGCTAATGGACAAAGACCTCCAGCGAAGCCAAGGCAAGGTGCGAGCGTATGTGTCGATGCTTTGTGCCGAGGGTGGCACAAAATTGGGTGGGGAGAGTTCATGACCCACCATGTCATCATGACATATAGGCTCCATTTGGCATATATTAGTGCCATGTGGAAGCTTATATAGGAGGAAGGCTAACATTTGTGAGAAGATTCTAGAGAAGTATGGACATTTCCTTAGGAAGACCCAAGATCCCTATGAATTTGGTAGGAAAGTCCTTGGAATCTTCTAGGTTTTTAGAGAGTTCTAGAGAAAGCCCTTAACTTGTAAATATTAAGGACTCGTATAACAATTAATATTTACATACTAGCCCCTAGGAGACTAGTATATAAAGGGGGTCATTTTTGTAATTCATCAATCAAAACAATCAAGTTCTCTACAATAGAAAGCTTCTTTTGGCAAATTTCTCGTCTATCTTATCTTACATTTTCTTAGCGATCTTAAGTGTGGTATTTTAGGCTGACTTGGCAAAGCAGGATCGTGAGCAAGTTGTCAAGTGCCGCACGTGTGCTTAGTTGAAGGACGTGACATTGAGCTCTATTTATAATGAAGCTTAACAATTACATGCGAATAGTTAATGGTCAAGCCATTATCCTTTATCGGTTATAAACAATTAACCTTAAGTCAAGAAAAAGCGCATACAATGATAAAAAGAAGTTCATCGACAGAGGGATAAGAACTTTTCAGTTGTGCATAACGAAGATAGCTTTGGAGTGGAGAAAATATTTGAATTAATAAGCTTGACCCACCGAAAAATCAGCCCAACCAACCCATTTGATACCCCTAACTCTAATCATCTGAAGTTAGAGGTTAGGTTACATTAACGGGAATGATAGATGAGGGGTGCTTTATAATACTTAGAGCCCGTTTGGCATAGCTGATTTAGAGTAGCTGATAAGCATTAGGTGTTGAAAAGCACTTTTGCTGATTTAAAAAATAAACAGTTACATGTTTGGATAAAAGTGCTGAAATTAATAATATGTAGTTGAAGAACTAGGTATACGAAGAGTTTTGTTTTATTTAAAAAGAAGTATTTTAGGGATAAAATAGTAAATATTTTGGTCAAACTTAAACTATTTATAAGCTGAAATTTGATAAGTTGGTGGAGACCAACTTATGGCTTTTGGCTTATTTTTGCCTTATAAGCACTTTTAATTTTACCAAACGCGTAGATAAGCCAAAAAATGCTTATAAGCTTAGCCAAACACCCTCTTACTTTAAAACATAAGCGCTAACGAAACGAGAAAGCATCCTGATGAATAATGAGCATTTAGAACATGTCAAAGAGAATTATCAAGCTTGAGGATGAGGTGTTAAGTGAGATTGGTCCTCTAGTTATTACTCCCGTTGTCTCAATCTATGTGATGCGTTTTCCTTTTTATTTTGTTCCAAAAAAATTATATCTTTTTATATTTAGAACTAATATCTTTAAATTTCTCATTTACCCTTAATGAGATTATTTATAAGCACACAAATATCTATAGCTCGTTTTAAATCACAAGTTTCAAAAGCTCTCTTTCTTAAACACCACAACCGGTCGAAGCGCACACGTAAAATGGGTCGAAGGGAGTACTATTGTTACCCTTTTGGCAGTATAGAAGAGGCGCTTCAATCTCAGCGAAAATGTGGCACGAGTTCTCTCTACAAAAGGAAGCTGAATAAAAAGTTATGCTTCATTTGTATGTAAAATCACAAGTGGCCATAGTATAATGCCTGAACTTCAACTTCCATTAAGCAAGAATTACATGTAATGTGGCCTAACAGTTGAGTTTGTACAAAGAGCTCAAGCATACTATGCAAGTCCAGCTTCACAATACTAGCTAGTCAAAAAAGGAAAAATATACAGAGCATTTAATAGTGATTTGTAGCTTCAGAAGCACCAGCGGCAGCAGGAGAATGAGCGGGGTAAGCGGCCAGTTTTACGAATATATTCTGCTTGCTTCTCTATTTTTACAGCATGATTATTTCTCCTGGCTTCTGCTGCTGCCAGTTTCTCTTCCGCTTTGTGCCTCACAGCAGCTAGCTTGTTCATTAGCTTGTCTTGTGCTCGTGCCCTCATCTTTTCCACCTCCACCTGAAAGCCAAAATGCTTAGTTCGCGAAAAGTTCAGGTCATGTTAATGAATGTATATTCGACATGAGGGTCTTTAGCAAAATGTGTTTTCTTCTTATTCATATATACACACACACACACACACAAGTCCATTAAGGGAAGGAAATTATCCAACATCCAAGTAGAAACAACCAGATTGCAAGTATACAGCTACATGTATTGCAGCCGTGAGAGCAACAGGTACCAGAGACAACAAATATTTTTCCAATAAGGTGTATGGCATGAGCATCGATTGCATCTTGCACGGCAAATCGAGAAACATCCACTAGAGACTAGTCTAAAAGGTCACATTGACAAGTATTAACTTTTTCCAACATAGTTCATCCATCAAACTGGAAAAAATCATAAGTTAGATCTTGAAGTCCTCTATGGAACAACCCTGCAGCTAAGGTCATACTTATTAAAACAGAAAATTATAGGTCCACTCACAATAAGATTTAAGACAGACTAGATTGTCAATTCTTGCAAACCATATTATGCCATGTTGGTCTTTAGATTCTACTTTCTAGATAGACATGATTTGATAAATACTGATCCAATTCTGAGAAACACAAGTGGAGTTTTAAAGTAATCAGGTGGACCAAAGTCTCCTGAATGCTGAAAGAAAAAAGCTTAACTAGTAATTTGT